AGGAGACTTCAGAGATGCCGTCATTCGCGGGTTATTTCTTCGGATCTTACTCGACTATCGGTGAGTAAGTTACGGCTCGTGCATGTAAAAACCTCCACACGCGCACATCCGGGCTCGTTCGGGGCGTCTAATAAGAAGTGACGTGTAATTTCGCCTGACCTACATTTTACCAACGATTCACTCGACGCACGACATTTTAAGAGAGTCTCTCGCCTCTCGAATGTAACATTGATTGTGCCCTGTCGAAAGCTTTTATTCGTGACTGTCGTTCACGCCTCGCTCTTTCATCGCACCCACCCCCCTCCCACCCTCCTCTTTTTTGCACCACCCCCATTTATGTAATATATATATATATATGTATGTATATATCAAGTGATGCAGCTCGCCGACAAACGACGTCAGGCGAAACGAACGAAATTAATAAAAACCCGTCGCCGCCTCTCGTTTCAGCTAGCAATCAGAGGTTCAATTAATTCGTTGGCCTTCCAACTGTGTTCCACTGACGGTCCCGCGCACGATTTTTAAACAACCATCCCCTGCTAAAGGCCACGGTAGCAACGGGTCAACCGGAAATCCGACGAACGCAAATATTCACGGTATAAACCGTGCCGTCGAACGTTTTCAACGCGCAAATACGAGACCCGACAATGAAGTTCACAAATCCCTCACAGTGAAATTACTACGTACCCCATTGATGGATGCGATCTCCTCCAAACTACACAACTAAGTACTCTCGCGCACGTAGTCTCTCCGAGATTATTTTGCAAACGATATTAGAGCTATCGTATGAGTAGCTATTATGCACGCGTTAAAATACCTTTCCTTTGGTTTCAATAACAGAAAGCAAGATATTACCAACTAGATAGAATGAGTAAGAGTCTATTTTTTATTTGCAAGGGAAGACATTTTTCTGTGAAAAGTTTAATATTATAAGAGAAGCTTCAATTCATAAAGTACAAGTTTCATTTTCCAAGGATAAACTATTAGCTCTGATTTCCTATTTTATCCAATTTATTTTAACTTTAAATCTACCGAGCTCTAAAATTAACGAACGTGTATTGTTTTGTAAGAATAACATTTTATCTAGACTTTCCGCCTATATTTTTCCATTTTTAGCTTGAATGAAAGGATTTATTCAGTCGTTTCTTAAAAAAGAGTCTTTATAGTTTCAAGAATTTGAAAATACAAAATGTGCATCACTTTGACCGGCGCGATTGGTTTAGAGTTAATAAATTCATTTTTATATCTCCCTCGAGACAAAATATTCGAGTTAACCTACTCTGGCGAATAACGCCGGATTATCGTTCGTTTAACTCTTTAGCTCGCAGTATTAAACAAAACATGTTCTAAAAATTGTATTTTTTTTACTTAAAAATACTGTTACAATAAACATGTAACTTCCGAGTATCAATATAAACGTTACGAGTCCAGCAAGTGAGCAAATTGAAAACCTTCGACGATAATTGTGTCGGTGATTTTGAAAAAAAGTGTTGTAAGCCATGAAACCTAAAAAATTAAGATTTTGCACTTGTTTCATGTTACATGAATGGTAACTTCACGTTCATTTCGATAATAGCATAAGCGGTGTAAGTGTTAGAAATGAGGCTGTAAAAACACACCTGTCAAGATATCTACAATTGAAAGCCACTATAATAGTTGAAAAAACGTACAGAAAGTAATGGAAGCGTGTGTCAATGAGTGAACCCACAGAAAAATCTTCAATACGGAATTCAATTAAAATTTTCATGCATCGCGTAAAGATACGTGCCGAAAATGTAAGCCAGCACTGAAGATGACTTGTATATGATTAAAATAGTTAGTGCCACTAAACAATTTATTAAGCAATTTTGAACCGTAAATTACGGGCTTTCGGAAATTATAAAATAATATAAAATATATAATGTCACTAAACAATTTATTAAGCAATTTTGAACCGTAAATTACGGGCTTTCGGAAATTATAAAATAATATAAAATATATAATGTCACTAAACAATTTATTAAGCAATTTTGAACCGTAAATTACGGGCTTTCGGAAATTATAAAATAATATAAAATATATAATGTCACTAAACAATTTATTAAGCAATTTTGAACCGTAAATTATGGGCTTTCGGAAATTATAAAATAATATAGAATATATAAAACATAAGTAAGTCCATTTATTTTTTAATAAAATTCGCTATTTTTGTTTATTGAAAATCAGTGACCAGAATTTAATATTAATTTTGAAAGCGATGTAAGACATTGAAGTATTCGATAGACATGATTCCATGCTTGATATTAACACTAAACCTACCGCGGTCAAAGAGACTGCTTTCGTATTTTGCAATTCTACAAAGTTCCGAGACTCTTTCGTGGAAAACGCTTGAAAAAGTTATATTATTGGAGCAAGTTTTATAATAAAAACTTTACAAATTCTAAATAAATTCGATCTTCTCACTTTTGCGAAGCGGTACATGCCGGTTAGTATTACTGCTTGGTAGGTTTAGTGTTAAACAAATTTGTCAATGGTTATATACTTGACGTTGGAAGATCATACAGTTTATAAAATATTGTCCTATAATAAATAAATACCTTTTAACACGCCTCAATGCAAAAGTCTACATATCTGGAGACTAAATATACGTGACTTCCACCACTTTCAAAATCACCGGCACAATTGATGTCGCGAGTAACATAACAGCCCTGAAGATGGACCAAGCGATATTTAGCAATCGGACACTTGACGAAGGGCATGAATTCGTTATCAATCCACAATGTCCCGTAATGGGGATGGGCAAGAGAAGTTATAGACAACGACGCGTCGATCGCGGACATCGACATCGGTCGCCGAAACGACGTTCCTCGCGCACGAGAATCACGAACGGCTGAGAACGGTGTTGCGAAACGCCCCGCGGCGAAATTGAGTGGAAATAAATAGGAGGGTCGAGTGGAGATTTCAGACTGAAAAGAAGACGGTCGCGGCCGGGAAGAGCGGCTTCGCTGTCGCTTCTTATAAGTCGAACGATAAGAGGGAAGAAATTCTTTTCTCGCGCAACTACCGCCAGGCCTGGCTCCCGTCTTTCATCGTTCGTTTTCTCTTCAACTGCGTTCGAGGACAAGGCAACGTCGCGGCGACGACGACGACGACGACGACGAGAAAGAGGGCGACGGGGCTCCGATTAAATGAAAATTGCCTACGCTTGTCTACCGAGGATGAGCCGGAATAGGATTAGGCGTGTCTCCCGCGCCGTTTCAGGATTTACACGTTTTCAATTAAGGACATTTAGCCGGACGAATGTCCGTGAAACGCGGCGCGGCATTATCACGGAAGAGAGGACGCTTGTCGTCAGGAAAACTAATTTAAGTGACCCCTCCTCGCGCCGCGGCGGTCGGCGAGCTCTTTTTAGATCCCATTATATTGAAATGTACCGAGAACGCGGTGCAAATCGCGCGAGCATCGTTTCGAGCCGCGTTTCATCGTGAAAGCGTCGCGTAGAAAAGTTCCCGAAACGCAGCGCCCGCGAACTTTGCTTGCCTGATCGAGGATTCCGTCGATTTTCCCTGCGTCGTGAATCTCGAACGCGGACGACAGCCGTCGCGAATGGATAGGCGCGCGGTAATGCTCGCCGGGCCCTTACGTTCGTTTGCATAATTGCGGCCACGAGCGGGCAAATAAACGCGATTGTACGTTTATCGGCGCGCGTATCAGCGGCGAAATTTATTTTATCCTCGGTGCACACCGCTGACGATCATTGCACGCCGCTGATTTAACGGCAATCCATTCGACGGCCGAACTTGCCGGATTTATCGCGGCGAAGTTGCCCTTTAAAGTCGACTGCCATAGAGATTCGCGCGAGTTTGATTTCTTCTTTCACGGAGGCCTCTCGCCCAGCGGAAATACCGCCCTTTAATTTCGACGAAGGCTCCAGACGCGGCTTAAATTAAAATCCTCGAAATGGATTTATTATTCACTGCCGGAACAATAATGCGATCCGTAAAGGGGCCACTTGAATGCGCGCAGATCCCACTTTGCCGGGCATCGCGAAACGAGAAAAGCGGGTATAATAAAAACGAGCGGCAGGACGCGAAGGTGGTAATAGAAATCAGCTCGGAATACTGTCTTGGTTTCCGAAAGGAAAAACTGGACTAACGCGATGGGGCAACCGACTCCGGCGTTAATTAATCATCCGGCGGCGGGCGAGTTACTCGGCCCTGATGAATTATCGCCACCTGAGGAACTAACTTCCACGATATATACCTTTCATATCTGCCTACGAAAATCCTCCATTCTTTGTCCGGGGAACGACGCCGTTACGCCCGAAGAAAATGAAATGTGACAATGATGTATCGTCGATACCGAGCGAAAACGTTGCGCCGCCTCGCCTCGTCTCGCCTCGCCTCGCGTCACTTTGCTGTGGAAATTTAATGGACAGACGGGAGATGAGAACGCGAGCGCGCCGATCGTACCGGACCGCGGCAGGATTTCGCGAAAATTAAATCTCCGGTGGTCCGGCTCGTCGATCAACGGCGAACACGCGGTATCATCGGTGAATCTTGGAACAGCGATCGCGGGTGCAGTTGTTGGACGCTGCCGAACCGAAGCCGCGTGTGCACAGGGACCGGTGCGAGGCCGGCGCGGGGCTCCGGTTATCGCCAGCATATACCTGGCGTTGATAGCGCGCTGCTTTATGCCCGAAACTCCGCGAGGTGGAACCGAGATAAACGAGCGAAATTCCGTCGGCTCGAATGCATTTTGTTGCGCGCGTCATTAGTCAACGTTTTATCGAAACCGCCTCCTGCCACCCGCGGGCGAGACGGTCTTCGACGTTGAAGCGCAGGGAAAAAAGCGGCAGGGGTTGGGAGAATGATTGAGAACGGAGCGAACGTTTCGGGATCCGTTCGCTTATCATCGCCAAGAGAAACAAAAGGGGGGCCAAGAGATAGGCTCGGGGGTGTCGGGTCGCAAGAGAACGGTTAAATAATACGCGTGCTCGCAATAGAAACGTGTTCACGTACATTGTTGCCTCTGGACATCCCGGCGAACATGATAGTGCCGTTGAAGCCGTGCGTCACGTGCCAGATGAACCGGTGTACTTCCAGGGTTTTCCTCTCGCGAAGAGAAAAAAAAAATGAAACAACTTGTGCGCGGTTCACTGGACAGTCCTCGCGGTTCGAGCGAGCCAACCACGCGCATACAACGACGAAGTAGACCGCCACCGAGCGGGGTAGACGGAACAGGGAAGACCGAAAGAGACGATGAGAGGGTGAAAGAAACGCGCGAGTATTGCCGCGTCAGTTGCACGAGACTTCGGCAAACACCTTGGAGTAGGTCGCGAGTAGGTTGACACCTTCAGGAGAGAGGTCGCGCGCAGAACTGACACCTCACGCGCGCGGTCCAGCTACCCTCAGCATCCAGCAGCAGCAGCAGCAGCGGCAGCGGCAACCGAAGGGGATGAAGCGGAGCACGCGCGAAATTCCGCCCCTATACTGCGCCCACCCCTTATCCCCCGCCCGAACCCACCACCATCCGTTTCCTCATCCTCTCTCTCGCTCCCTTTTTCTAGAACCGCGCGTTCCGCTTCCTCCTCGACTACGGACCTGTTTTGTCCTGACTCCGGCAGCCCACCACCAGAAAAGAATGTTCGAGGGTGAAACGGAAGGTGAACTGGCCGATAATTATCAGCCGGATAGATGCGTTTCTTACGCTGACGAAAGCGAAAATACGGGATCGGTTTTTCGGAGGGTCGTTAGCGGAGAACGCTTTTATGAATCTTCTTAGCTCCTCGGTTCATATATCCGCGTCAAACGCTGTTCGATGTTTTTTATCGGATTGCAAAAACAGGTGCGGTGTTTATTGTGCTTTGTTTCTTGCGAAAGAACTCCGTGCGGTACTGTAGCTTCTGGCTCGCGTTTCCGGGAGGAGGGCCCAATATGCCGAACTGACGAAATGTGCAAATCTCGTCAGAAACTTTAGTTTTAATATCGTCAATATTTAGCTATGTTTCAATTATTAATGAACGTTGTTGTCATCGAGTAAAATTGAACTGTCAGAGGAATAGTTTTAAACACTAGATTTACGGGACCCGTAAAAATGGCTGGTCACCAATTTTTTAATTTATAATTATTCATATCGTACAGAAATACATTGATGAGTTATTTATTCAATTTATATGTTACTTACGGCAAATGTTACAATAACGCTTGTTAAAAATCAGAATAAAAAAATGTCTTATTGTTATAATACTTTTATAAAATAATATAAAACAGCTGTTTTTTGTGCTCCGTAAATCTAGTGTAAAAAACGATTTACCGAAAAAAGAGATCCATGTCCTGAATATCTTTCTCCTGAAACGTCCTCGATTAGACTGCATGTAAAATGGATCTGTGTCAGTGCCATGGAATAGAAACCACATTAAAATTTCATCCTTGCTTTAAAAATTGTATTAAACCAGGAGAGACGTGGCGATGGTCGATTCCTTTAAACTTCCTTTCTGAATTAAATAACACGCACATGTCGTGAATCGTAGCATTGTTAACATTTTAAGGCTTTTTGGCTCTAACTAACCAAAAATAATCGATAATAAATAAAATAAAAATAATCGTTTTCTCTTTATTTTTTATTATATCCGTCTGCCCGAATCTGAGTCCGAACATCGGCGATAATTATGTCAAGGATTGACGTAAATGTACAGAGACACGGTGTATGTTACTTCATGCGCTATATCGAGGAACGTATGGTCTACATCGAAAAACGATTTCAAACGTCCGGCCAGCAACAGTGACAAGAGAGGTCAAACAGAGAATGGAGGAAAAAGTAGGAAGACAAACATGGTTTCGCAGCAAAATATTTGGAAACTTTTCAAATCATATATCGGAAAGGAAGCACTTGAAGTATCGAAGTCATTTATTATGAAAGTACGCTTCCAAACGTTATCTACGTCGTAACTTTCGAACCAGTAAATATTTGCGCTTCAAATTATATTTGGAGTAATTTCTATCGTCTCTGCAGTTTGGTGCTTCTATGTCAACAGCCGATAAATAATTTTACGAAAAGCGCAGATCACGATTTTTCGAAAAAAAAAAAATTTAAACATGTTTCTATATAAATAAAGTTTCGATATAATACTTTCATTAGTTACCGTGTATATATGCGGAAGGATGAATTAAATATCATGCTATTTTACGAAACTAGGAATCATTTATTGTAATTGCATTATTCAATTACGCAATACATTTGAAATCAAACTGTCGCCTTTTCAAATCGTACTAATATTTGGACATTCTATACGAAATAGATACATTTAGTATATAAACCTTTCGAAGTGACTGTACGTTTAACAATTAAAAAGGTTTCGTTAAAATTCATCAATCAAATTGCACGCTGTAGTTTTGGATGTTCCATTTTTATCCGTCAAAGTAAAATGCTTTTACACATATGACTGGTTTTCCCGGAACTATGAACAAAACCTGCAGTTATGTGCTTTATGTTATACCAATTGCACAGTGTATATTTGACTCGTTCTATTCCTCTATTTAATGCTATTTCGACTCTATAATATTAATGTTGATGCAAAAATAATAGACAAATGTTGTAGCTTTGTATTTTACTGGCCTTTTAAGTACGAATGACTTGTATGAAAATTTCTAAAAGTAATGGGAATAATTTTATTTATTCAATACTTTCAATACTTTCAATACTTTTCAATTCAATCGGTACTTTCGCAGAAGAGCAGCTTTATAATTCCAATGAGGGATCAGGCCTCGTAATTCTAGCGTTGCAAGATTAACAACGTTGTTCAAAAATTTGAAGTGATCACTGAAGATAGGTCTATTTTTCTCATGTCAGTTCCTTCCAAACTACGGGCGAAATTAGATCATGATTATGGATACCGAAAAACCTGATGTCTTAATTGAACAGCTTTTTTCATAGAAAAGCTTTTTCCTTCCGCTTTTACTGGTTGTTCTGTAGTTTTTAAAATATCCTCATTTTCATTCCTCTCGCATTCAATTACATTTGCCATGTAACTTGCGTTCACTACTACTACAGTAAATCCTCCCTAATTGTCGCTCACTTGTAAAAAAATATTGGACGATTTGGAAAGAGGAGATGCAATTATTCGAGTCTTGCGGCTTCTTTTTAATGCTGTTGACAATCGGCGGCTATTCGTATCTTCTCTTCGCAAATTGTCCACTTTTGTTTACAAGCTTAGCGACAATTGGAGAGAATTTACTGTAATTCTACCTGAGAATTCTACTTGTTATGACTAAACTGCGGATTTCTAAAAAAAGTAAAAATTGACCGTCTCGTTCTTCCTTTAATCATTCTAACAGATTAAAAATAATACATTGACAATTTACTGCACAATTTTGTCATAAAATGCGGAATCCAGTTACGACCATAGTTCTGCCATTATCTACCGCGCAACATTTCCGCACCATTTTCTTCTGTAACTCCTACAATTTAACAGATATTTCAGATTACACAAGGTCCATCCTGTATAAACATTCCGACCCGAAAACGTCGATTTCAGTGGTCCATTAGTCCCGTGCCTGTAAAGCGATAAACGCCGGCGAATTCTTCAGAAGATAGATAGATTAGGAGGAATTTCTCGCGCGCGGAACGTCCAACGAAACTTTATTTCATCCGACCTTCGGCATCTGGCAAGCGTAAGAGTATATGAGAGCAAGGACGCGCGAAATTTCACCCTTGTGCGCTCTCCAACACACCAGCGACCCCTTTACAGCCCTGCATATCGTCCAGGCGACGACCCTAGCACCTACCTAGGGGGGCGAAACTTTTCTTAATAATTACTAGGCAATGGAGGCTATACTGCGCGACTCGAGGCCCCTTTAATATTCGAGTGTCACGCGTGCTACGCGCGAGCATTCCTTCTTCGCGTTTTGTTTTAGTTATAGGTGGACACGTGGCTAACGCACAAAGCCCGTTGTTCGTTGTTCCCAAAATCCCGAACGGTCGAGCAATGTTGACGCGTTAAACGGTGCCTTTTGTCCCCGGTTTATTGACCCGGATCGAGGGACAAAAAGTTTGTCGCGCGGCACCCGCGAAACAAACGAACACGAAATTTCGGCGACGCATAATCCCCGGTGATAATCAGCCGACGCGGAACGTTTCGAACGAAACGATCGATTATTACGGGCGGTCGATGCGAATTATTGCTAAATATTGACTGCGAGATGCGCGCGAATTTTCACCGACGCTTTTCCGCGGATACGCGTAGAAAGCGCGACGCCACCGACGCGATTAATACGACTCGAAACATTAAAAGCGTTCTTAGCCACGGAGAGTGCACACGGATGTAAAGCAGACAGAGAACTTTTAATACTCTGTAGTGTACAAAGCTTTGCACTTATGACGCCACCGCACGCGAGATAACATACATTACTATATTGGTATCGCGAGCCCGAATGAAATTCACAATGGTACTTCGTCCGTGAGACCTGAATATCGTGTTTTATAATACTATAGACATTAACGTCGTTTAAACTACGGAACAACGCTGCCTTATGAATTCAAACTGACTATATATGTTTGTTCCCTCATTTCTGCTCGCAGTTTTCGACGCCAATTTCTAATGAACAAGAAGTTTAACATCCTGGTCGCGTCTAAGCTGCACACAAGAAAGTTTTAATGTCAATTATAACAATTCAATTATATATCTATTACAGCGCAAAGTGTGTATCCTTACAGTTCGAAAATGTTTTCAAACTTTCGGTAAATTGATCTATCTTTATGCAAAATAAAAGTTGTTTGATCTGTTGCGAGAAACAGGAATCAGAAGTTTTCCTTCCTTAAATAAAGTTATAGTGGGACGAATACAATGTATAGATCAGAGTTGGACACAATTCGAATTGTTTCGAATATAAATATTTATCTAAAATAATTATTCGCATGAATTCGTTTTAATTGAATATTTTATTCGGATAACAATCATTCATTATTCATAACAAACTGTTCTATATATTAATTCGAATAATTGCTCATTGTTAATTCGAATAAATTATTCCAACAGAGATTGTAAAATTATTCGAATAATAATTCCAATAATTATTGACCGTCTTTTTTACGTAATTTTTTAAGAACACTTCCTTTGCATCCGAAGGAAGATCGTTATTAAATTAATGAAACTATGGAAAAATACTATATTCTGTAATTTTTATTCAAAATATTTTATGGAAAAATAGTATATTCTATAATTTTTATTCAAATCGATTATTTGCCGAATTAATTACTGCACAAATAAATTCATGTTCGGATAACAAGTAACTTCTCATTCGCGCGCGAATGAATTTTGATTCGAATAATGTCTTATTCGGATAAGTGTCAAGTTTATGTCAAAGATAATGTTTTCTTCATAATCA